CATATGGAATTGCATGCTGTACTGTGAAGCATATAGAAGACAATCAATCACAATATAATGTCGATATTCAACCAAAGCATACACGCACATATATAGTTATAGGAAAGAGTAAAGATAAAGCACCTCTCATCTCATCTGATCTTGATGACAATCTTCCTTCAATTCGTTTCTCCTAAGTAACTGGAACCATATAATGCATGCATATTCTTCAAATTGCAGGTCCTATGTTCAATGAATTTCCATTAAAAAAAGTTACAGAAAAACTACTTTTTAGTAATTAAATGGAAAAACTTAACCCTGAATCGAATCATTCCAAATTGCATGAGGAACCTAACCCCCACACGTTTTGTGCTAGCTGGTCATGCCATTTGCTTCGCCCAACCATCTATCATATCCACCCACATCCTGCGTTGGAAACATAAAATTCATATAAAATTATATGTTCAACTATATATATATATTGAAGCTGTGCCATGAGGAAAAGAAAGAACAAAGAACAGAGGAAACTAGGTAGCTTATCACTTGGATAAGAAGAAAAAGAGAAAACCATCCAGTTATTGAGGGTGTGAAAAACTAGTTCCTTCCATAACTATATTCCTTCCCTCACTTCCCTGCATATTGTGGAATCTGAATCAGTTTTTCTGTTTAATTTTTGGGTTATAAGCCAGGAGTAAATGACACATTTGTGTCAGGTAACCAAGAGGTCGATGATCAAGTTTTGGATAGTGAACTTAGAAACCTCATCTGGGTTGGTAATCGCATGATAACCGCCCCATTTCACGCGCTCCTGCTCCCGTGTTTAGGGTGGCGATTACCGGCCCGATGAGATTTCCAAGTTCACTGTCCAAGAACATATATGATTTATGTATTCCAGTATAATGGAGAGGAATGCTGACGTTTTTGATGGGTTTGTGAGGACTCCATGGATGGTGTGTGAGGCAGAGGTATTAGCTTGCAAGGAGGCTCTCTCTTGGTTAAGAAACAACGGGTATTCCCCTGTTCTAGCTCGTACACTCAGATTGTCAGGTAGGTCTGATCTTATGTTCTAACTTGATTTATGAATTCTTATGTTCTAAATTTGTGAAGTTATTGCAATTGTTGATATGAAGGCTTAGCAATATATATATATATATATATATATGCATTGTTGAACCATTATCCATTAGGTTTGTTTTGGAGCTTATTGTGTTATATTGGGGTAACTGAAAAATTCTTTTATTTTACATTTCTTTTTAAACTTTTAGTTGATTAGCAGAATGTTGAATGTTTTCTTTTCGTATCTGTGCTGATTGATTAATCACATGGATCGGATGATCTACATTTGAAGATATTAGTGCAACATCGTAGTGCTCGTAGCACTCATCCACGCACCGCCTCACATTCCGGCTCTTCACCACAGCCTGGACGTGGCGCCTCGTGTCGGTCACGTTGGCCATGACCAGCCTGATGCATGTGACAATTTTGGCCGGGAATACGCAGCATAGGGATGACGCATCAACCTGGTCATGACCAATGGACCGACACGAGGCGCCACATCCGGGCTCCGGTGAGGTGAGGCAGTGCGTGAATGAGTACTTCGAGCACTACGACGTTGCCGTCACCAGAGGCGTTGAGGGATTACAAGCATCAGGAGTACATTGATACCGAAGATAAAGTTGTCATTTTTTTAATTTCATTCTTCTGATTTAATTTATCTGTTTGGAATAATAAGATGTTCTTAGGTGAATTAAGTAAGTATTTTTAATTTGGGAGATACAATAGGATCCATTTTAATTTCTTGCAATTTTGTCTCAATCACACTATTTTGTATTTTCAAGACTATGTACTAATTCATGTTTAGCATGACCATACCATCAAAATTTAACCTACATGAGTTGTGAGAATAATCTGAATTTGACTCGGGCTGCACTCACTAATAACCTTTAATTTGCATGCTCATATATATGTAATAGCTCAGAATATTTTAGCCACTGAGGATGTATAGGGGTGCACTAGGTAAACTTTACTCTTATATATGTAATATGTCAGAATATTTCAACGAGCCACTACACGAGGGTGTGAGAAGATACACCAAGTAAACTCTATTCTTGTGTAATTGACCATAATATTTCAACCACTACAAGTGCCTGCAAGAGTACATTGGGTAAATACCTTTATTATTATTATTATTATTATTATTATTATTATTATTATTATTATTATTATTATTATTTTAATTTTTTTTTTTTTTTTTTTTGTAATTGCACACAAATCATTCAACCATATATACAGGAGAGGTAAATCGCAATAAAAAGACTTATTTTGTGATCTTTTAATACGATGAGAATCATGCATGTTTCACTTATTTCATCACTTTTTTGAATAATTAAATTTGAGAATATTTTAATTTTTGTAATGAAATTTCAAAAAAGTATCAAGGGAATGGAGATTTTTTATAGGGAATAATAGAATCAAATCATTAAATAAACAGCCAAAAAAGCTATGTGAGTTGTTACAGTATAAGGGTTTGGTTTCAGCAAATGCCATGATTATTTATACACGTACAATAATAATTATGATTAGAAACTATAAAAATAATTATAGTTTTTAAAATTAAAGCACTTCGTTAAATATCCTACAATTATATCAATGTTTAATTAATTTAGAATTGAGATTTTATTTGTATAATAACTCCACAACTCGTACGTGATGCCATTTATAGGTCAAGTATAAGTATTTTTGGGAGATAAAATAGGATACGATCTATTTTAATTTCTTGCTATTTTGTCTCTATAACACTACTATTTATATAAAATTTTAAGTAACTTTAAAATTATCACAGTACAATTTAACATTCAACAGAAAAATTGCCAATTTGCCTGCAATTTAAGAGTGAAAAATAGTAACAATATAATTGACTAATAAAAGTACTATTTTCTTATCATTTATGGACAAAAAGTATTATTATTATTATTATTATTTTTCATTATGATCACTAATAATGAAACTATCAAAGAGAAAGCATGTAAACTTGTATTTTTGCTATACACTATTATAGTATTATTTGTCTTAGGTTGTGGATACAACGTTAAATATGTCTCGAAAGTTGTGATAAAGTAAGTGAGGCATGCATGATTCTTATACTTACAAATTTAATTATCAATAGAATCTTTCTAGTATGATTGATTATCTTTCCGTATAATTTTTACTCAATACATACCTTCACATAATAATGGTTGATCTCTCTTTATAATTTTTACTCAATACACACCTTCACATGATAATTGTGAGTTTTTTTGGTTGTCCAAAAAAATTATGGTGCAGAGTATTGTTGGTTCTGCTAACGAGAAAGTGGCACCTAAAATGTTTACATTTCAGTGTTTTGACTCACAAAGTTCTTGTCCTTTGCAAACATTGTTTTTTCGTAACATTCTACTGCAACATTTTGCAGTCTTTGTAAAACTAAATTGGACCGATTTTATTCTTTATTTTAAAAGGTTAACTATCTTATAATGCTCACAAATGAATTTCAGGCCGATGATGATGAGTTGTTCAAATGAAAAAGTTGAGACCTGATTGACAAGTTTAGTTCGTTTGGAAATTACCAATGTAACTATCACTATCACTATCACTATTCCACCAATAATAGTATATTACAAAGTAGAATAGAGCAATATAATACAATAGTATACCCAACTTCAATTCTGCACTAAATATTGAAGATTGTAGCTGTTACATATTCTTGGGAAATATCATTAATTGGAGTTAGCCCTTGATTTTCCAAGGAACTTATTGGTGACTTTTGAGGATAGATAATCTTTAAGCTGCATATGAAGAAAGATGGCAAATCACAAAGATCCAAACAGAGAACCATAACATCATATGATATGATCCATCAGATAATAAGCAGTATATATACAGGGACGGAGTCAGGAATTCCGTTGAGGGGGGAGAAGAAGCAGGGACGGGATCCAGAAATTTTTTCAAGTGACGATGAAATGTTAAAACAAAAGATATAATTTGAAAAAAAAAACATTACCTAAGAAATATAGATATAAAATATTGGTGGATCTGAGCAAAAAATAAAACTCATGGAAACTTTATAAAAATATTCATAACAAAATATGAAACATAATTACTTTGACATTACCTAAGAAATATAGATATAAAATATTGTTGGATATGAGCAAAAAATAACCCATGGAAACTTTATAAAAATATTCATAACAAAATATAAAACATAATAATTTGATGAAATAATTTAAATAAAAAAATATTATAAATTACATATCTTCTTATTATTAAAGAATGTTATATATGTATGTGTAAGCCAAGATTCAAACCCCTAACTTTCATTATAACCAAAAACATGCTTTGACAGCTAATCTAACTCACTTTTTATTAACATTCATTCGTTTTTTATACTAATACTAAAACTTATACTATATATACATATATACATACAAAGGTTATATATAGGGTGGGGTGAGGGGCAGGTGCACCCCTGCCCCTTTGGCTTCGTCCTTGCATATATATATATATGATACCAACATTATATATGATGCCATTTCATCACCAAGCTCTTTAATATAATGAGCATTAATTACCACATTCCAAAAGAAACAAGACATTAACCTGTAGGGTGTGCAAGGAATTTCCATTAAAAAATGTTACACAGATAAACTACTACTTTTAGCTCGTCCACTCAGATTGTCACGTTATGTTTGAACTTGGTTAATTCTTATTTTGGTTATGTTTACAACACTTGTTTAGCTTTGCTTGGCTCTTTAATTAATTCGTGTCAGATTAGATTTGTGAATCGCTCTGCGAACCGATCTAGTAACTCATGCTTTTGCAGCAAATGTGATTTCTCAGTCTATATATATCTCGGGTGTTATGAAGAGTGTATTAGCTCATTTATTTCATGATTAATGATATTTTATGATTTACTTAAAAAAAAAAAAATCAATCATTAAATAAATAAACAGCCAAAAAAGAATCAATATAATCTCTAATCTCGATCAATCAATGCAGTTTCCCTTCCTTAAGCAATTCATGACCAACATCCCCATCCCACACAACTGGGTAGTGTCATTGTTCCTCGCCGAAAACGGCGAGACTCCCCCGCCGCAGCCGCCGGCTGGCGAGTCTCGGCTGCCCACCTTAAACAGCTCCTCCACTAATTGCATAGAATTGTCGACCATGCTAAATTCATCCTCGGCCTCCATGTATTCCTTATGCTTGAAAGCCTTCAACGCGTCCCCCATTCGGTCGACGGCAAGGTCGTAGAGGTCGTAGCACTCATCCACGCACCGCCTCACCCAGTGCTGCACCTTCCCGCTGTTCATCACACCCCGGATGTGGCGCCTCGTGTCCGTCACGTTGTTCATCACCAGGTTGATGCACGTCATCCCTATGTCGCGTAGCGTCGCGCATTCCTTGGCCGGCCTCGCCTGCAGGGCGGAGATGCAGAAGTCGTAGTCTAAGTAGTTCAATTCCGTGTTGATAATTTTGCAGGTCTTTTGGATCAGGGTGTAGTGCTTGTGATTCTCCTTGGCGCCATGGATGATGAATGGGAAGAGGAAGAAGGAAAGTAGTAGGAGAATGATGTCGCGAGGAGAAGATAAAGTTGCCATTTTTTTAGTTTCTTCTTTTGATCTGATCTGTTTCTGTTTGGAATAATAAGATAGATGTTCTTGGCTAGCTTGTGATGTCATTTATAGGTCAAAGTAATTTTAATTTGGGAGATAAAATAGGATCCATTTTAATTTCTTGCTATTTTGTCTCTATCACACTATTTTTATATAAATTATTTTAAGTAATACATACTTTAAAATTATCACAATTTAAAACATTCAACATCCAATATTCTAACCATTTCAAAAGTACATACTAATTCATATTTAGCATGACCATGCCATCAAAATTTAACCTACATGAGTTGTGAGAAACTGAGAACAATCCAAATTTGATTAGTATAGGGTGCATGCACTCACTAATTAATAACATTTGCGCAAGCTCTTATGTAATAGCTCAGAATATTTCAGCCACTAAGGATATGTATATGAGTGCACTAAGTAAACTTCACTCTTGTGTAATAGCTCAAAATATCATTGTACTATTTGACGGAGTGTGCGGGTACATTAAGTAAACTCTACTCTTGTGTAATATATATGCCGGAATATTTCAACAAGACAGTACTACATGAGGGTGTGCTAGGATATACACCAAGTAAACCCTCCCTATTCTTGTGTAATTGGCCATAATATGTCAACCACTACGTAAGGGTACGGTGTGCAAGAGTACATTGGGTAAGTACCTTTTTTTTTGTTGGTTGTAATAGCACACATATCATTCAACCATACAGGAGAGATAAATCGCAATAAGAAGGCTTTGTGTGACAAGCTCAACTCGATTGATATGATTTTGACAAGAATAAAATCTGTGACCTTTTAGTACGACGAAAATCATGTTTCACTCACTTGATCACTCTTTCGGATAAGTATAAAATGTTTACATTTTAGTGTTTCGACTCACAAAGTTATTGTCCTTTGAAAACGTTGTTTTTCGTGACACGTTTTATTGCAACACTTTGCAAGTGTTTAATACTAAACTGGGCCAATTTTTATTTATTTATTTTAAAAGGTAGACTATCTTCGTCAAAAGATAATGTTTACAAATGAATTTCAGGCCGATGATGAGTAATTCAAATGAAAAAGTTGAGACCTGATTGACAAGTTTGATTAGTTTGGGTATTACCATACTATAATAATTGCTATCAGATGAAATTGTTAATACATCATCGGCATAAAGAGAAACTGCGGCCATTAGTTGTGTCCCCAACTAGTACCACACATCATTGGTCTCGCTATCATTCAAGCACATCGGGATCCGAAAAATATATAATTGTTAAATAACACCATAATCAATAACGTAATTATATGGGTGAAAAATCTGGATATATCCAATAAAAAAATAACGTCACCATATGGAATTGCATACCCAACTTCAATTCTGCACTAAATATTGAAGATTCTACCTGTTACAGATTCTTGAGAAATATCATTAATTGGAGCTTGATTTTCCAAGGAACTTATTGGTGAGTTTTGAGGATATAAAATCTTGAAGCTGCATATGAAGAATGACAAATCATAAAGTTCCAAAAAGAGAACCATAACATCGATCAGATGATATGATCCATCAGATACCAATGTTAATCTCATGCCAATATCAAATATCAATTACCAAGAGCACATTTAAGCTAACAATCCTACATTTGGGCATCAATTTGATGCTTATCTTTATCCACTCAATCCACTTTTCACATCCTTTGGTGGGTAATATCAAAATTAAGTTTTGGGCATATACAATTTGATGTACCAAGATCAAAGTTTCCAATTATTTCGCTTAAAAGTTTGAAATAAATCAAAGAGAACCCAATCACCAAAAAGAAAAAATAACAGATTTAGTTCCAGATCATTACAATTGACATTTCTTGGGCAAGATATGCTAGTATAAAGATGGTAACGTAGTCATGTCATGGTGCTAGCTTGAAGATGTCAAATTTGATCAAACTAACATTACAAGGATAAATCAGCTAGCGTTGCAGCAATGTTTAATCGAATGTATGTAACTTGTATGTAAGAGATCATAATTAATTATCTTGAGAATATGTATAGTTTAAGTGCATATATGATATTACAGTCTCATGTCCTGGACATGCTTAATTTTGTATAGAAATAGAATTGTTGTACGTATATTTGCCCTTGCCCATCAAAAAGAAAAAAACAATTGTTGTATGCTGGCCTGGAAATTAATGTCATCTCCAACACCATGATTTGATAACGTACGATTAGACTTAAACAAATTAAATGTCATCTATTAAAATATAATAAATAATGCACATTTGCTAACAAGAAAGAAAAATTTTCTAAACTAACAAAATTATATCAAAGTTTTCATTCATAATGTTTTTGACAAATAGAATGATACTAGATGGGTTTCTCTGTTTTTGGTTTCAATGGTTTTGTTGGTTGAATTTGAATTTCCCGAACAGTCTAATTTTTTTGTGCAGTCCAAAGCATCAATTCCCCACCACCGAATTTGATCATGTGATCTTTTTTCAATGAGAGTCATAGAGGTGTCATCTGAACACAAGGTGCTTAGCCTCCGAACAGTCTAATTACACACACATAATCATATTTTTTTGAAGGTAAATGATCAAATATATTAAAGAAGGCTAGAGCCTAAAAAACTTGAATGTTCCTCACACAGTCAAACCATACTCCAATTTCATTAGTATGTGGCCAAATTCAGCTTTACTCGGAGTATCATTTTCTATCTATGTTGTTCAATTAGAATATTATTATGCAAGTATCTATTCTGAGCTTGCTGAAGATGTTGAAGAAGGAATAGAAAAATCAAATCCTGTATAGTAATTCGATCTGGATTCTGTTCATTTCAGAAGGCATCTAGGTAATTCTTTCATCTACACTCCAAATACTCTGTACCTTGTTCTTCAATACAAATGTATAATTAGGTAGATCTGATATTAATTTTCATTTAAAATATCATTCCATCAACTAAAATATAATATACACACTACTTTTACTGAAGCAGCAGAAGAAGAAATTAAAAAAATGACAACTTTATCGTCCGCGTCAGTGTACTTTTGATGCTTGTAATCCCTTAACCCCACTCCCACTTGGGTGACGGCAACGTCATAGTGGTCGTAGCACTCATCCACTCACCGTCTCACCCAGCACTTCACCTCTTTACCATATAACAGATGTGGCGCCTTGTGTCTGGCACATTGGTCATGTCCCTCGAGGTGCCACATCCGAGCTGTGGTGAAGAGCTGAGGCGCTGGGTGAGACGGTGCGTGGATGAGTGCTACGAGCACTACAATGTTGCGGTCACCCGAGTGGGAAAGGGCGTTGAGGGATTACAAGCATCCGAAGTATAGTGACGCCTGACGATAAAGTTGTCATATTTTTTAATTTCTTATTCCCACCTTATTCTTTTCCCAATGTAATTGTAATTCATATTCCCCTTAATTCCTTCCTTTCAACCAAACACCCTGTTAGTTCTAAACAACAAAATAAATACCTTGGTGACTTGGTCCACAAAGCTAGGAATTGGAATTTGGAAGAGAAATACACCTTGTATTTCTTTAACGCATTTGAGAAGATAGAAACACAATCCACAATTACTACATGGCTCCATTATGTCTGCCTCTTTTCATGATTATTCTCTTTTTTTTTTTCTTTTTTTTTTTTACAGGTGCGATTGTTAGAGCCTCGTCGACCTTTATCATCTGCCGCCGCCATGAAAATTCAAGAATGGTTCTTCTGCAACTTTGAACCATTTATACAATGATTAACTCCGAGTAGCTATCTTGCAGACTGTTAGCACTTATTTATAGTGTTGTCTAAGATTATAGAAGCTTATGTATATTTATTGTTAGTCTTGAAGAGTCCATCTCAGGTTTAAATTCATCTTGTTTTTAATTTAAGTATACGAAGAGACAAAGATGAAAATATAATGAAAATATTTTGTTAATAATATTCTACAACATCAAATTAAAATGGAACGAAAATTAGGTAAAAATATCACTAGATCTATATTCTAATCGACTAATTGATTGACAATAAAAAAGAATAATTGACTGAAAATGAATCTATTGAAATATAAAAGGAAATGAATATTAATAATTGACGGCAAATAAAAAATATCCATAATTGACTAAAATAAAAAAAGAAATGGTCAGTTCATTGTATTTTAATTAAGGACTACATGAAAACATACTGTGGAGCATATATTACACCTTGCAAAGAAAGTTACAGAGCTAAGATGGCAACTGCAGAAAATACATATATGTATATTGCTGTAGATTATGATGAAAGGGGAACTGATCTGATCAGGAGGATATAGAGGAAGAGTGTGTTGAAGTTGTGGAAGAACTTGAGGAGGATGAGACATGAGAGAGAGTTTTGAAAAACTTATATGTTTCTCCTATTCAAAGTGCAATTGCCAATTGGTGTTCATCCTTAGCTTGCAGATTGTCGGGAGAATGACAGCTGAGCAGAGAAAGGTTACGTTCTTGTGTTTTTCAGTAGAGGGGTTTGGGCTTACCCATCCAAGGATATCATGAAAGACCGTCTTAATTAACTTTATCACCCAGGAGCACGTTGGGAGCAGCTTCGGTACTTGGTGACATTTGCAGGTTCTGTATCAACTTATTTTTATTTGTACATAAGATATGTTACTCAGCTTGTACAGTTGTAGTACTACTTACGATATGATACTCTTTTCGATCTGTTTGATTGTTGCAAGAGGTTGCTACTTTTTTATTTTTTGAACACCAAGAGGTTGTTACTTTACATTGACAAATCTTTAGTGTATGTTTTCTTCAACTGTTTATGCAAATTTAGCAATAGCATGAACAAATAAAGTCAGTCAAAAGTACAGTTTTTTACCATCTATTTCTTCTTTAAGTTGATGCGTGGGGGTTGTATACTTGTGTAGTGGTGAAAGATCTGTGGATACAACTGTAATCTTTAGTTACTGCTCATAAATAAACTGTTGAAAACTTGAGTCTCTACTGTTGTCCGCCTCTTCTCCAGCTCCTGTGACC